ATGGTCACAAAAGCTGTTATGCTCCAGAGAGCTGTGAACATGCATCTCAGCGCCAAGCTGGACAGAGGTCACTCCTAACTGCTTACCACGCACCAGGCCGTGTGGATGGTCCTTCACATATAAACACCTTTTGTGGGATACACACAGCAGCCTGGTGAAGTGATGCCATTGTCTTTTTTTTTTTTTAAAGATTTATTTATTTATTTGAAAATCAGAGTTGCACAGAAAGAGAAGGAAAGGCAGGGTGGCGGGGGGAGGTCTTCCATTGCTGATTCACTCCCCAATTGGCCGCCAATGGCCGGTGCTGCACCAATCTGAAGCCAGGAGCCAGGAGCTTCTTCTGGGTCTCCCACGCAGGTGCAGGGGCCCAAAGTCTTGGGCCATCTTGCACTGCTTTCCCAGGCCATAGCAGAGAGCTGAATCAGAAGTGGAGCAGCCAGGACTGGAACCAGCGCCCATATGGGATACCAGTGCTGCAGATGGCGGCTTTACCCGCTATGCCACAGCGCCGGCCCCGCCATTGCCTTTATTTGTCAGAACAGGATAGAAAAAAGACACTCACTGGAAGCCCAGGGATGACCAGCCCCTTGCTTAGAGTCATGCGGCGCGGCCAGCTCAGACCCAGGTGGTTGGGCCTGGTCCTGGGGTTCAGCGTCTGTCCCCATCGCTGGGATGTGGGTTGTGTGATGTCCCGTCTCACCCAGCGTTGATGAAGCTAAGAGCTGATTTGGCTTTGATCTGATGTATTTTGATCTTATTATTTTTATGTTAGAAGCGTCCAAATAACCGTCATTTCGGCAGTGCCCCAATTAGCAGGCCATTCACGGTGGATTGAAAATTGACTGGGATCGGGCCTCTCCATTAGCGCTCGCAAGAGGCCTCCAGGCTTAATTACCCGTGCTGTTTGCTGAGCCGGGGCGCTGGTGGCGCTGCAGGTGGCGGCACGAGGGACAAGTCAGCCGTGCCCACCTGCCCCGCCAGGGGGGCTGTCAGCCTCTGGGGTGCGGGCAGTGGGGAGATGGCTTGTAGTTCTGATGATAACTCTTATGATCCTGCTGTGACCTGGGAGGGGATGCTGGGCCCATGAGGATGTCCAAGGAAAGGGTGGGGAACTGACACCGCTGTAGGATCTTTCTGCATTCCAAGTCATAGCTCTGCTGGGTCCGGAGTCTTATCCCCAGTGAGTAGACTGGAGGCACAGGCAGGTGAGGTGCCCACTGCCTCATGGCTACTGATTGGGGGGCCCCAAGCCAGAATGTGGGCTGAGATCCTCATGTTCTTCCTGCTGTCCCTGTAAGGGGTGCTGCCTGGCCCCTGTGTCTTTGTCATGCTGTTCCCCCCAGCTCTGCTGGTGCAAGGCCTTTTCTTCCTTGGAGACTCTGATGCAAACCCCACCTGGGTTCATCTTCCTTGGTGTCCCAGGGAGCTTCTCCTCTTTCCTCAGGTTAAACTGTGGGGTCTGGCTACCCCATGGACCCTGTGTGCTCAGGGCAGGGGCTTGCGTGGTGTTCTGAGAGCATGGTTGAAACATGTAGGAATATGGGGGCCCACCCAGAGTGAGCAGTGGCATGTGTGCCCAGATGGGGAAGTTGAGGCTTGGAGAGGTTTTGTGACTTCAGGGGAGTGGGGTCGGGGCTGGGGAGGTGATGAGAGCCAGGAGTGACGGATGGCTGCAACGGGCTCTGCCGCAGGTGGCCTGGGATGGGATCGCCCCCTCCCTAGCCTGGGGCTGGAGCTCCTGGACAGTGTAGCCTCCACTGATGGATGGTTGATGTCATAAGTTTGCATTGTCAGATTGTAAATTCGGGGCCCATGTTACAGCACAGTCGATTAAGCTGGTGTTGGAGCACCGGTTCAAGTCCCAGCTGACCCAGTTCCCATCCAGCTCTCTGCTAATGTGCCTGGGAAAGCAGTGGATGATGGCCCAAGTCCTTGGGTTCCTGCTATCCACATGGGAGACCTGAAAGGATTTCTGATTTCCAGTCTTTGCCCTGGCCCAGCCCCAGCCGTTGTGGCCATTTGCTGAGCGAACCAGCAGATGGAAGGGCTTTCTCTCTGTGTGTCTTCCTAAATAAGTCTTTTAAAAAAGATCATAAATGCACCATAGCAACATGACTAGAACATGCACAGAGGAAGAAGGCAGGACACTCTTCCACTTGGTGCCAAGGCTTTTAGTGTTTTTCTCGCCTTTTCATGGGTGTGCTTTCTATACTTAGCTGTGATTTATGGTCATCGTGGAATTTTGTGCCCTGGTTTTATTGTGTTTTTTGCTTGGCTACTTCTCAGAAGTTTTTTTCCCAGGGCTGTGGCAACATGAAAAGAACCCTGGGTGGCGTCAGCCCAGCCCTGTTCCTTGTCGGCTGCATGGCCTCTTGTCTTGTTACCTGGAAAGTGCACACACGACACACACGGCTGTCCTGAGATGCACGTGGATCCACACACACGAAGTGGGGAGCTTGGCACGGAGGAGATTCTCACATGATAGTCCCTACTCCTGCATAATTCCCTTCTTACTCGCTCTTGGAAGATTATTTTCTTTTCTCTAAATTATCTGTTCATGTCACAGAGTTTTGGCAAAGTATAGAAAAGAGCGAAAACCACTTCTGGGGCTCCTTCTGCATTGCAGTCATTTTTAACACTTTGCAATATTTCCTTCCTTTTTTAAATGCATGTTGAGTTTCATTTCATTGACTTCATCAAATACATACAATTTTGTATTAATTTCACGCTCCTTTTTTGTGACTAGCACTTTTTCATCTTATGGAGCATCTCCAGGAATAGTTTTCAGGATGGCACGTGCCTTCAGCAGGTGCGGGATGTTTGTAACCACTCACCTGGTCATGTCTTTTGCACAATTAGCAATATTCCGAGAATGTGCACATGTGTTGGATATGGTGCTGTCTGCATGATATGGACAGGTGCCCGGGGAGGAGTCGCTGGCCAGCAGGCATGACATGTAAAGGCTTCTGGTGTCCTGGCACGAGTCTTTTGGGTTTTCCTCTTTCTAGTTTTATTGAGATTGGATTTTTTTTAAAGTGACATGCAATGATTGTCCATCTTTATTACAGTATGATCATTCAATCCATGGATATAATGTGTAGTGACCAAATCAGGGCAGTTGGCATTTCTCTCTCCTTAAACATTTACCATTTCTTTGTGTATTGGAGCTTCAGAATCCTTTCTTCTAGTTCTGTATAAATTGTGTCATATGTCCTTATGAACCGTAGTCACCTGCTGTCCTATAGAGCATTAAAACTCACCCTTTTGGGGGCTGGTGTTGTGGCATCTGCCAGCAGTGCTGGCATCCCACATGGGCACCAATTCGGGTCCCAGCTGCTCCACGTCCAGTCCAGCTCTTTGCTAATGCACCTGGGAGAGCAGTGGAAGTCTGTAGCAGTAGAGAGTAGAATGATGGTCACCAGAGGACAAGGAGAGTAGGAGGAAGAGGAGAGAGAGGAAGGCTGGACAGCAGGTGTCAAGGAGGAGTGAGCTCTCTCTCTCTCTTTTTTAATATTTATTTGAAAGGCAGTGTTAGAGAGAGAGAGAGAGATCTTCCATCCACTGGTCTATTCCCCAAATGGCTGCAGTGGCTGGTTCTGGGCTGGCTGAAGCCAGGAGCTGGGAGCTTCATCTGGTTCTCACATACGGGTGACAGGAGCCCAAGTACTTGGCCACAACGATCAGGGCTGGGCAAGGCCAAAGCCAGGAGCCAGAAACTCCATTTGGCTTTCTCACATGGGTGGCAGAGGCCCAAATACCCTGGCCATATTCTGCTGCTTCCCCAGGCACATGAGCAGGGAGCTAGATGGGAAGTGGAGCAGCCGGGACTGGAACTGGAGCTCACGTGGGATGCTGGTGCTGCGTTGTGTTGCCGGCCCCCTGCGTCTCCTTTAACTCCGCTGACTTTGGCCTTGGAGGCCCAGCGTTCTCAGGGAGGAGTGTAGGGTTTGAGTTATCATTCGGTGATGCTCATGGTGGCACAAGGCAAGCCCCTGACGTGGGGAGCAGTGGTCTCTGGTGCTGGTGAGCACGGAGGGCTTTTCCTGGCCTCCCATTGCCTTCTTCCTGGGGTGGGTGCCCCGTGTTCCCCATCTGAGGCACAGCAGGAGCTCTGGGCTCTGGCCCGTGTGCTCGGTGATGTCAGAGTCGTCGGGAGCCCTGCATGCAACAGATGGCGGCCGCCACTCACAGGCGTTGTTGTGACATCGCAGCTGCTCGTGCATGCTCCTGCCACCACACACAGCACTGGCGAGAACCGTCGGCTTCAAAGCTGGCACCGAGGGTTGGGGCACGGGGAGGTATGTCTTTCTACAAGCCTGGCATAGTGAGGAGGGGCACCCCTTCTTCCCAGGTGCCCCCCAAAGGTGAGCCCCTAGGTGCACCCACCCCAGAAATGGCTGCTGGCACCTCCACAGCTCTGTGCACCCCACACTCTGCAGTCACCACCCAAGCAGCCCGAGCACCTGCCTGCGTTGTTGCTGTCCTGGGCTTCACTTTGCGTGGGGCCTGCCTCAGTATTTCCATGAAGTGCACCAGGTGCACTTGGTCCTGTCTGTGTTTTTCCGCCTGCTACCGGGGTCCTCTGGGGTAAGCATCTCCCTAACTTTCCCGTGTTCTGCAGTCTCTTCTGTCCTTCCAGCCGTTGCGGGACACGTGTGTATTCTCAGCCCATGGCTAGGCCACTGGGATGCAGTAAAACCAACTGTTGGCCCTCAGGGGGGACTCCCATCCCAGGTGGGAAACAGACTCAGCTCTGTTGGGTGAGTCAGGCAGCTTCAGTTGAATCCCTGTATGTGTCCCTCCTTGAGGGACCTCAGTTTGCTCATCTGTTCAGTGGGTGCAAGAATGTCCCACTGGTATTGTCTCCAGGGATGTCAGTGGTCTGGGATGGGTTCTTGGTGCCAGGGTGGGGTGGGGGATGGGGAGGGCGGTGTCTCCCAGGGTCCCAGGTGTGGGCTGCTGAGGCTGACCCTCCCTCTCTGTCTCCTCTCTCTTTGCAGCCTGTGACCTCATGACCCAGGGCATTTTGGCCCTGGTCACGTCCACGGGCTGTGCGTCCGCCAACGCCCTGCAGTCGCTCACCGACGCCATGCACATCCCACACCTCTTTGTCCAGCGCAACCCCAGCGGCTCGCCCCGCACTGCCTGCCAGCTGAACCCTAGCCCCGAGGGCGAGGCCTACACGCTGGCCTCCAGGCCGCCCGTCCGTCTGAACGACGTCATGCTCCGCCTCGTGACCGAGCTGCGCTGGCAGAAGTTCGTCATGTTCTACGACAGCGAGTACGGTGAGTGGGGGAGGAGCCCAGGACCCGGATCTGTAGACAGGCATGAGCGTTGCCTGGCAACAGCACTGTATCCTGACAGCTGAAGTTTGAGTCATCTTAGAGTTTTCAGTAAAATATTAATCAACTGCTGGCAGGGGTCCGAGGGGCTGCACGCAGGCAGCGGTGGAGGCCACCAGCCTGGATTCTCCTGGACGCCTCCCCTCCGAAGGCTGCCCAGCCTTCTGGGTTCCCAGCCCCACTCACCCTTGTCCGTCCTCCGTTTTGGGGTGAAGGTCAGGAGGGAGGGATGGCCTGAGTGTCCTGGGGACAGTCCAGCGTCGGTGAGCACAGCTGGACGTGGCTTCTCTGATGACCTGTCCTCTGATGAAATTTGGCTTCTTGGGAAAACACAAAGATGTGTGCTTTGCAGAAGATAGCTTAGATTTTTCTCACAGCAGCTCTGCACAAAACCTGCCTGACTCCTCGTCCTGACATAGGATGGTTTCCATCTCTGATGTTCTGTTTTGAGATAGTTGAGATTCATGGGCAGTTATGAGAGATCGTACAGATCCCAGGCACCCTACACTTGGGCTGCCCGAGGCTAGCATCTCACACAACTGGAGTGTTTGATGCTGACCTTGTCAGCTGGCCTTGTTTGTATCTCACCTGCTTACAGGCACTGTGAGTGTGGCTGTCCTCTCTCCCTTATAGACCTGGGTGACCCCCGGTCAGGACAGAGCGCAGCTCCCTCACCAGAAACCCCGGGACCAGCCCTGCATAGTTGCAGCCACCACCATAACACGGTGTGAGGGTCAGTGGCTCCATGCCCGGGGCCAGGGTAGAACAGGTGGAGCCTTGAACATCTCTCTCCCTCTCTTTTTCCCCCCTCTCGGTGAAATAATTCGTTTGCCAAGAATGTAACTAAGAAAAGAAATCAGCATATGTTTGCATTTGCCTAAATACCCTGCTTCTCTAAGCCTGAGATGTTGCCCGCAGCTCTTGAGCAAATACGCCAGAAGAGCAGACAGTTACTGTGATCAGACAAAGAGGGAGGCTCTGTCCAGGACCTGAGGTCTCCCTCCTACCTCTGCTCCATCCCAAGACTTGGAGACAAGTTAGAGACCTTGCAACAGCCCCCAGATGCCCACAGGGAAGCCCCTGAGAACACTTCAGGCTGGTGGCTCTGATGCTGGGCCCTGTGAGAGCTATGGGCCCAGGGAGGGCTGGGGCTGCTGTGGTCCAGTGTGCACAGGCCCATCCCACCCCGCATCCCCTGGGTGCTGCTGCTCCCCTTCTGCTCTGGCCTGGGAGTGGGCCTTGGGAGCCTCGGCCACATGGAGGGCCAGTGCTCGGCTCTGTCCAGCCTGCCCACTCCTTCTGGATGCCAGTGATGCCTGCAGACTGAGTGATGCCTGAAGGCATTTGCCCAGCGCCTGTGTCTGCTTCTTACCACACCCCTTACTCCCACGAAGCTCGAGAAACAAGTCATTGCTCCAGCAAGGTCATCCCTGACCCCTGTGCGTCCCACAGAGCTGGCGCCTGGCTTACCCCTTCTCCTGCCCTCAGCCTGTTCTGGGCTTCTCAACACTGGATGACATCTTTTGTGGGGTAGCAATTTCCAGGACAGCTGGCCGTGTCCCTGCTGCCCTGGCACAGAAGAAATAGTCACCGTTGTGAGTGAACAGTGCTCGGATGCAGATGTGGAGTTTCCAGCAATTTTTGCACAAGAAAAAGGAGAAATGGGGAGAAACACAAGATGTGGGGAAGGGGCTAGGAAGCACATGTTTCATTCCTCCCCCACCAGTCAACCTCCTTTTCTGACATGGGCACCTTTGCTGCCTGTGCTGGGGATGCAGTAGTTCCAACCAGACTTATCTTTGCCATTCATTCTATAGACACAGGGGGACCCGTGGCTTTCCTCTGGTGGACCACTGTGGCTGCTGGTTCAGGAGTCTGTGGCTATCATGTTGGCTGAGTCCAATCTGGGGCTGAGAGCGCGCTTGGGGCACTGTCCAGGATGCTGACATGTTGGCTCAGGGCTTTCGGGGGGAGGGGGCGGAGGTCTGAGCTCTCTTGCTGGATTCTGTGTAGGACAGCCTGCCTTTGCCGGCTTTAGCATTGGCCTTTGGAGCTGACAAACCCCAGCACATTCTCTGTACAACTTTAACCAGCCCAGCTCCTGCTGCCTGTCCCGGCTGCTCCCTGCACGCACAGCTTGTGTGAAGTGATTGGGACCCGCGTGCCGTTTGATGCAGCACCTCTGTTCCTTAGTGAGGGTGTGGGCAGGCAGTGGTCCGTTCGAGTGCCTTGGGTGTATTCACATTGCTTGCACAGCCAAGACAAACGAAACCCCTCGGGGCCCTTCCTCCAGCCCACAGACTGCAGATGAGCCCAATTAAAGAGCAAATTGCGTGTAAAGACTGTTTTACTCCTCCCAAATTCAAACAGAAGTGGTTTGGGAAGTTCCGGCTTTTTGATGCTGATCGACAAATACCTTTACATAACATCTGTTGTAGGATAATTGCAAAGTTTTACAAACAAGACCTTTTGACCTTAAGACCCACAGGCTTAGCCAAGGCAACATTCTATTTCTGTAACTGGGGCTTGCGAATCTCCAGGTCAGCTCTCCTGTCCCCAGCCAGGTTTGTCTTTACGGAACATCACATGTAAGGTCCCTCCTTTGTAGATGAGACCCAGTTCTTGCTCAGTTGCCCATCAGAGTCCACTTAAGCCCAGGAATGTTCTACCCAGGTGGAGACAGAGGACTGGGCACCAAGCCATGAGCCAGAGATCATAGCAGGAAAAGCCTGGGGCCCCGAGACAGGACCTGGCAGAGGAGCGAGAGAGGAGTTTGTGTGTGTACAGTTTGTGCCATTTGGTAAAATTCCATGGAAAATACTTGTATGCTTGTTGTGACAGTGAAAGGAAAAATAAAAGAGAAGCTGACATTTGGGAGAGAAAATCTGTAACGCTGAAATACCAAAAGTTTGGATGGAACGGAGCAGAGCACTTTCTGACTTGCCGCTCCAAATGCTGGGATATTATTCATGTGTGTGTGTTGGGGGGGTGGAAGGGGTGTCTGTAGCTGCAGCCACAGTTTCCCTCTGGTGAGTACACTTGGATGAGGGTTGTAGTTGGGATAGTGTAGTAGACATACTGATTCAACTGTTCAACAGATATTCCCAGAGTCTCCGTGTGCACCATGTATTTTGTGAGGCATTTATTTAAGAAGAAGCATAAGGGTGGAGCGACTAGGCTCAGTTTGCACAGTGCTGGGATTGGAAGTCAGGACCCATGGGCTCTTTTCTGCTGTAGCAGTTCCAGGGTGCAGGGATTCCCTTTTTGGCCTCTGGGCTGGCTTGCAGGGCTGGGATGGGTTGGGAGCTGGGATTCAGCAAAGGAGAACCCCAGGGCTCTGCCTGAGTGGGCATTGTCTATTCGTGCTAGTTTTAAAATTATTTTCAAATCCATGAAAGTTGTGTGTGGTCACGAGTGTGTCCAGTTAAAGAATAATAAGTGAAATGAATGCTTATGAACCCATGATCAGCTTAAAATATGTGAAGGGTCTTTGTGTGCTTCCTGCTTGGAGGATATAACCTCCATCCTGACTGTGTGCTATGCAATCCATTAATTTTTTGATAGTCTTACCACACAAGTGTGGATCTTAAAATACACACAAGGATACTTCAGAAAGTCTGCGAAGGGGCTGGTGTTGGGGCGCAGCAGATTAAGCCACCACTTGCAATGCTGGCATCCCATATCAGAGTGCTGATTTGAGTCCAGCTTGCTCCGCTTCTGATCCAGCTCCCTGTTCATGCACTTGGGAGGGCAGTGGATGGTGGTGCATGCCCTTGGGTCGCTACTGTCCACGTGAGAGATCCAAGTGGAGCTCTGGGCTCCTAATTTCTGCCTGGCCCAGTGCTGGCTGTTGTAGGCATTTGGGGAGTGAACCAGCAGATAGAAGATCTCTCTCTCTCTCTCTTGCTCACTCGCTCTCTCTCTCTCTCTCGCTATTTCTCTCTCTCTCTTTCCCCACCTCTCTGTCTGTCACTCTGCCTTTCAAATAAATAAAACAGGTCTTTGAAATATTTTTTGGAAAAAATTGAGCTGAAAGGTCAGTTTTTTATTGCAAAAATTTTTTTTGGAATTCACGCATATAAGCGGTCTTCATAAAATTCATGAAAAATGTTGATCATGAAAAAACTGTGCATGTACTTCAAAATTATTTTGCATCAGAATAAACTTGTTTTTTAAAAAAGGTTTGCTTATATTTATTTAAAAAGAGTGACGGGGAGAGAGGGAGCAACAGAGAGATCTTCCATCTGCTGTTTCACTCTCCAAATGCCCACAACAGCTGGACTAGACCAGGCCAAAGCCAGGAGCCAGGAACTCCATGTGGGTCCCTGACACCCACGTCAGGGACCCACCTACTTGAACCATCATCTGCTGCCTCCCAGGAGCATTAGCAGGAAGCTGGATGGGAGCACAGAGAAGCCGAGACTTGGACTGGTGCTCCCACGTGGGAGGCAGGCGTCCCAAGCTGCGGCTCTGTCCGCTGTGCCGCAATGATGGTTCCTGAACTTTCCTTCTAATCCCGTTTTCCATGAACTGTTCGAAGTAGCCTAGTGCTGTTCAGTTAGTCTGCTTGTGAATCCCGTATGTGTGGAATAACATTTCTTTCTTTTTTTTTTTTTAAAGATTTATTTATTTGAAAGTCAGAGTTACACAGAGAGAGGAGAGGCAGAGAGAGAGAGAGGTCTTCCATCCACTGGTTCACTCCCCAATTGGCTGCAACGGCCAGGAGCTTCCTCTGGGTGTCCCACATGGGTGCAGGGACCCAAGGACTTGGGCCATCTTCTACTGCTTCCCCAGGCCACAGCAGAGAGCTGGATTGGAAGTGGAGCTGCTGGGTCTCGAATCAGCGCCCATATGGGATGCCGGCACTTCAGGCCATGGTGTTAACCCGCTGTGCCACAGTGCTGGCCCCAGTGGAATAACACTTCTGTGTCCTTCTGCGGTTG